ACTAGGATTGTATGTGAGGGTTTGATTATATCTTTATAGATGTAATTTGTAAATACAGTACTAAAAGTGTAGTTCTTAAAAATAACTTATTTTTTCAATAAAAGGTACCACTTTTAGTATATAAAACATTACAGTTTGTATCAGCACTATCCAAACACTTTTCCCGTGTAGCACTTCCTAGAAAAATCCTAACTTTTCTTTTTTTTTTGTTTTTGTTTTTGTTTTTTCAATGAGGTGAGAATACTACGACTAATAATTACTAGCAGAAACACCCGCCCGTAGGATGGCGTTTCTGCTAGTACCAATAATTGGACGATCAAAGCAATAGAATTTATACTGGGATATAGTTGTTACTTTAAAGTCGATATATTACAATGTCATTCATAATGTGGCTTATTTTATGTGTATTTAAATAAATACCCTTTTAATACACTATATTATAAACTACATAGTGATATTTTAGGTAGGTCTAACAATAGGTGGCATATTACTAAACTTATAGTACATATTTATGGGTGAGAGGTAAATAGACTCATTTCCACCATGTACGATATAACGATCTAGTGCACGTAACGTTTTGATTTTATGTAGATTTTTCTTGAAGTAGGTGAATGATCTGTTTAGAAGTCTGTCATGTAAGTTTGCGTATTTTTGTAAAAAGTGAAAATTTGTTGAACAAGGAACTTTGTATGCTCTAATGAGTATTACATTTTGTTGTTTTTGTAGTTTAGTTTTAATTTTGTTGGATGCAACATTAATCCAGGCTGGACAAGCATATTCTATAACTGGTCGTATGTATTGTTTGTATATTTTTGATATATTTCTTGATGTTGTTCCTGTATTATTTCCTGACAGACTTCTAACTTGATTTATCCTCTGCCAGATTCTGTTTGATATTTCATTTATATGTTTTTGCCAGGAGATATTTTGCTGATGTACCTGTCTGGAGGAGTGTTCCGTTTAGATATAATTTGGAGATGATTTTGATTAGTTTCTTTAATTTTACGAGGATTTCTGTTTTAAGTATATTGATTTTTATTCGTTTCTTGAAACAGTATAAGGTGATGACATTTAGTGAAGGTTGTAGGTTTATAGCTGCTATAGATGGTGTTATAGCGTTCCCGTTTTTGTTTGTTTGTTTTGAATTTCGCGTAAAGCTACACGGGGGCTATCTGCGCTAGCAGTCCCTAATTTAGCAGTGAAAGACTAGAGAGAAGGCAGGTAGTCATCACCGTCCACTGCCAACTCTTGGGCTACTCTTTTACCAGAGAATAGTGGGATATAACGCCCCCACGGATGAAAGGGCGAGCATGTTTGATGGGACGGGGATTCGAACCCGCGACCTTCAGATTGCGAGTCGAGCACCCTAACCGCCTGGCCATACTGAGCCGCTCCTGCCTTTCCAATAAACAACACAGGTTGTCCGGGTATTATGTTAACAAAATTAACCACGCAAGTAAAAATGTTTGTTAATATAATTTCCGGATAGCCTAGTTAGATAAACTCGTATGTGTTAACCTCAACTTCTCTACGCTCCCTTCACTTAAATTGTCCAAAAGTAATGCATTTCAGTCAGAGTAAGAGCGAGGTCAAAGGCCACGTTCTTGGAATAAAAACGACTATCACCTTATTCAAGATTTTGTATAGTAGCAGCAGCAGGAGGATGGTTTTATCTTGCCATTCAGTCTTCTGTAGTTACGTTCACTGACACGAGGGGACGTTTATTTAGATGATGGTCAGCTATATACACTTGTATGTCTGAGGGTTGTTTTATCTTGTCATTCAATCTAGTGTAGCATGTACACTTACACAA